ATGTACGAGTCCTTTATAGCTTTGCCCTCCCACTAAGTGTCTAGCTTAGGAAGTGGCTGTCCTGGTTGCAGCTGGGATAGAGTTAATTTTCTTCCTAGTATCTGGCATAGTGCTGTGTTTTGGGTTTAGTATGAGAATAATGCTGATAACACACTGATGTTTTAGTTGTTGCTAGGTAGTGCTTACACTAGTCAAGGACTTTTTCAGTTTCCCATGCTCTGCCAGGTGCACAAGAAACTGGGAGGGGGCACAGCCAGAATAGTTGATCCAAACTGACCAAAGGGCTATTCCATACCATATGGCATCATGCTCAGTATATAAGCCGCGGGCAGTTGGCCGGGCAGCAGTGACCGCTGCTCGGGAACTGTCTGGGTATCGGTCGGTGGGTGGTGAGCAATTGCATTGTGCATCATTTGCTTTGTGTATTATTATTACTATTATTATTATTATATTGTTGTTATTATCATTACTATTTTACTCTATTTCAATTACTAAACTGTTCTTATCTCAACCCAGGAGTTTTCTCACTCTTACTCCTCCAATTCTCTTCCCCATCCCACCGGGGCAGGGGAGTGAGCAAGCGGCTGTGTGGTGCTTAGCTGCTGGCTGGGGCTAAACCACGACAGCAGCATAAGAGACAAAATGGGCAACAGACCAGACAGGAGAAGGCTTGTGTTTCCAGAGCATAATAACTAACGCGGGATTCTTTCTGCCAAGTACATTCAACTTCACAGAAGTAACACTGATTCGCTACAAGGCTTTGAGGACTCTCCAAGTTAACTACATCTACTTGTATTTCTGTGTTACTACATTTTTCTTTGATATCACACAGTAAATAGGTGAAAATAGGGAAGCTGAGCAAATAGCTGAGGCAGAAAAGACAACAGGTAAATATCATGAGACACTGGCATCAGAGAAGAAAGTAAAATAGGCATCCCAGGCATACGTCCTGTCCCTTCCCCAGTGAGTCCCTGGGACTGTGTCCCCCAGCTACTGAGGGATGTGTCCAGGGAAACACACTGGAGTGGGGTTGCGGATGGGGCAGCCCAGGGAGGAGACAGAGGAGGCACCCCAGGTCTGCCTTGCTGTGCTCCTGGCAGCTGCCCACTCTGCACCACTCTTCTGCCCTCCCCTCCTCAGCCCCAGGTGCCAGCCCTGTGGCTGAGCTAAGATGCTGCCTTAAATAGGGCACCCAGTGGCTCTGGAAGGTTTAGAGCTGTGGTTTAAATTGGTCTCCTGAATCGGTCTCCTAAAAACCACACCTGATGTTCACCTTTAGCACCACAGAAAGCAGCATGAAGGAAAAAGGAGCATAGTCACTGAAGAAGCAAAATGATCAAAACAACTGAGTATGAGGTAAGAGAGAGACATGTTTGACACAGTACAGAACAGAGCTGAAGGTGATCCACTGACCCACAGGCTTAGTGCCCATGGGAAATTTCCTTAAAGGCAAAGGCTAGATATAGAAGCTGGGTAGACTTGTTGTTCTTTTACTCAGACAGTGGTTTCTGCTGAGGGAGTGCCTGTGCCTCATGGGCACTGCAGTGGAAATGATGGAGCATTTTGCTTACATAGGATCCTTTACTAAGGATGAGGAAAAGGCTGAGGTACTTAATGCCTTCTCTGCCTCTGTCTTTAATAGCCACACCAGTCATCCCCAGGGTACTCAGCCCCCTGAGCTGGAAGACAGGGACGGGGACCGGAATGGAGCCCTCATAGTCCAGCAGGAAGCAGTTAATGACCTGCTATGCCACCTGGACGCTCACAAGTCTATGGGGCCGGATGGGATCCACCTGAGAGCACTGAGGGAGCTGGCAGAGGAGCTAAAAAAGCCACTTTCCATCATCTATCAACAATCCTGGTTACAGGGGAGGTCCCTGATGACTGGAGGCTTGCCAATGTGACGCCCATCCACCAGAAGGGCCAGAAGGAGGACTCGGGGAACTACAGGCCTTTCAGCCTGACCTCAGTGCCGGGAAA